CCCACTCGGCGAAGTCGGGTCTCTGAGGCATCCCTCCGCAATGCGGCCCGTGCTACACTTTCAATGATCGAAAAAATGGTGTTCAGGGATGGGCCAGATTCGCATGAAAGTCGAAGAAGGCCACGTTTGCCAGGTGGGCTGTTGTATGCTGTTGGCCAGGTACCCTGGGTTTGTTATGGTTTGTTCGAAATGAACAGTCATTAGCAGACCAAAAGCTCAAACGTTGACCAGATTTGATTCCAAAGGTGAGATGGAGGAGACAGGATGGAGGAGACAGGGTGAGATGGCAGTCTAGAGACACCACACCAAAGCACAACTGAACATGGATTTGCATCAAACGATGCTTGCGGCTAAGCAAGTGAGTCTTCATCGACTCCTCCTCCCAAGCTACGTGTTACCCCGGTCGAGGTTCCCGCGCGTGTGGAGGGTCCCGCGGGTGGATGCCGGTGTTTGTGGGAGCAGAAACAGGCTCAAGGTGTCCTAGCCCAATAAGAGTTGACATTGAGTGAAAAGACCAAATCGTGTGTTTTTTGAGTTTGATCTAGGGAAAAAGTTGCTGCATAGACATGTTGGGGGGTATTTGATTTATGGACTCATGGCTCCTGGATGATGTACTGTAGATATATTCTTCTTGGCTGCACCTTCCACCATCCCAACTTAGTTGCTTGTGACTGCTTGTGACACAAGGTTTGAACATGTTTGAACATATGGAAGAAGGACCAAAACGATGGCTGTCCATGGCAGTGGCACAGCCACTCCCTTCGCACCCGATGTTGGTCTTGACACCCTTCATCCCTCCGGAAAGACCGGCAACTTCTCGCCATGACCCAATGTGAGCTGAGTGCCGCGGCGCAGCGGCTCTTTACCGCGATGTGGGCGTGTGAGACTGCAGTGGAGAATGCGCTGAGGTGCGGGACGACCCAGGATGTGGACATCTCCACTCCCTAAAAGTCCCTACAGATCCAGTCGTACCTTCACCTCAGCTACAGCAGGGTACGCCAAAAAACAGACGACCGGGTCCCGGGTCGGGCCCGGTATGGCAGATCCCTGGGACTTGGTTGGTGGAGAAGTGGAGACATCGAACCCGTGGCGACATGGCCCCCTCGGGGAAACGGTGCGTCCGCGGGGGCGCGGGGCGGGTCGGAGCGCCGGGGAGTGTCATATTTGTTGGGGGGGGGAGGCCCGGGAAGGCATTCAAAAGCCACGAAGTGCACTAAAATATGATGGAGAAAGGGATGAAAAAGGATCTGGGAGAAACTTCACCGTAATTCTCACAAAGATCCTACTCACCAAACCGGTTTTGTCTAGATTTCGACTGGCAGCGGTCAAGGGCCAGTTGAGTGGGGAGGGGCGAGGTGATGAGATTGATTTTTGGGTGTTTTTTTGTTGAGAAACCTTTTTTTTTAGAGAAGCCCTGAAGGGCTCGATTGAGTTCTATTTAAAATATTTTAAATGTTGTTCTAGAGTTCTAGAGTTTATTAGTATATATATATAGTACATGGTGAGTTGACAAGCCAGATCTCACAAGCCCAGAGTTCTCCATACAAAACGAGCAGCAGTGGTATCGGATTGTTTCGACATGATTGAAACTTGGTGTCCCCCATTTGGTTCAGCGAGTTGCTGTGGACATGCCCTAAGATACACAGCAGACGAACAAGACTGGCAGACGAACTGGAAGAAACGGGTCTAGACCTTGGGTCCATTCTCGGGTTTCCAGACATTCCGGACGACCATTCCATGTAGGATATATCCCTAGTGCTCCAACCATATCCTCAGAAGGTGGTTAGACCGCCTGGCACCCACCCCAACCATCTTCGAAACGGAGGTGGTTGGAGCCCTAGGGTATGAGTGCACATATGCCAGTCACGCCGCCGCAAGCTAGGCCCGGTATATATCTAGCATCGTATCCGGTGAGGTGCCCGGTCAAACAGCGGACTGGTCGGGTCTTCGCAGGGTGCAGTGGTCACCGGGATGGTCAGCCATTGGATCACTGGCATCAAGAATCGGACTGGCCAACGTTGGCTGCGAAAAAATGGACCCAGCCTGATAGATCCTTTAGCTGTCACATGATTGCATGCAATCCAGAACATGCAGAAGCCAAACCATCATCTAAAAGAACCACAGCTGTCACCTCGTTGGACCGATTCGGAGAGAAGGCTCCGCATCAAGTGTCGTTTTTTTTTTTTCCGAAAGAAGGGTGTTCCGATGTTCCAGGTGGCTTGGTGTGAGGCTTTCCAAAGAGCCTCAGCAACCGCAAAATCCTTATGCTTGGGATTTTCTTGTGTTAACACCATATATTTTTATATAAGTTATACCATTGGCAAGCATCTGAATTATATTATCTTTTATGACTTGGCTTGCCAATGGATCTATCTCTTACTCCCGGAACATCCGACCCACTTTCCATCCAATCCACCTCAAAATACCTGGAACATCCGACCCACTTTGAGGCTGGGTGGGTTACCACCCAAAAGACCCACCTCAATCCAACAAAAAGCCCCCCCCAGCCCTGCCGACCGTCCCATCGGCAGTTGGAAGAGTTGGGATTGCGATGCTTGGGCTCCTTGGCGGGCGGAACCAGTGGATCACCGAGTTTCCCCCGAACGAAGGGATTGGTTACGGTGGTTACCAGACCCAGACACGACCTGTCTGGGACTGCCATAGGACTACCGATCAGTTGGGGTATGTTGGGGTGGTGCCAGGGGGGGTCTGTCTGGGGCGGCATATATGGCAGTCCCATGGGTCGTGTTTGGGAGAGGTTCGATGGCACAACCCATCAAAAAAAGGCCTCCGGGATCAGTTCAACCACTTTGCGGGGGGCAGATGTTGGTTCCAATATCTCTTCCCAGATTGTAGACCTACCCAGGGGTTCAGTGGTGAGGGGGATTGCGGCTTTCACCAAATCATGAACAGATGGAACACCTTATTTTGCCACAAAACTGAGGGACTGAGCGAGTCAGTTGGGAGACGTGGGGGGGCCGGGATATCTGTGGGGCTGGAAAAGACAGGAAGGATTTCTGCGTCGGTTGTGATCGGAGCAGGGCTTTTTGGGGCAACCCAACGATGCGAGATTCTTCCTGATGGAACAAGTTGAATAAATCCAATGCCACGATCGTTACTTGAAGTTACTTCCCAGATCTTCAAAGATTTGCAAATTGCTCTCCAAATGTCACGATGTCAATCTTTCGGGTTTTTGTGCTAAATGCGACCGAGAAATCATCCAGATTCTTCACTCACTTGGTGGGGTGATGAAGTTGTGATGTTCATCACACCATGTTCTCACGAGAAAAGCTCGCCCACTGCGAGAGGATTCGCAAACCGATTCGCTTCGAAGAGTCCTCTCGTCTCGTCGGACCGTCGACCGTCTCGTTCAGCGTCTCGACGTTCGCTGCGAACGTCGGCGCAAAGCATCCGTTCGCGAAGTCTGTGGGGCGAAGCCTGATGAGCTATTAAGGGGCTATTAAGGGCTCATAAGTGCTATCCAAAGGGGTCGCGACCCCAAAGGGGCTATCCAACTATGCAAAACTATTAAGGGGCTCTCCAAAGGGGTCGCGGTTCGGTTCCGGGTGTTTGTGTTCTCGACATAGTTTTGGGGCTATTAAGGGCTCATGAGCCAACCAGTGGTGGTAATCGGTCCATGTCCTACCCAGTCAATGAATAGGCTTTACAGTGGTTTCAGAGTAGATGGCCCCATCCCCAAGTTAGGTGATGTATATGGGCCTCCATCTAGAGGGCATCTTGGGGTCTGTGCCATCTACTCAGAAAACACTGTAATCTTTTGGTTTCCCCACTAAATATTTGCTAAATATGACCAGCTGGTGCTCAGGAAGGGGCTAGCTGTAGCCGGCTGCCGAGTCGGAGAAACTCGTTTCTGTTCAGAGTTCCCAAACGCCTTGCAAGATGCACAGATGGAACATTCTGTTCACCTTTTGTGGAGTCAGGATGTAGGTCAAGGCCCCAAGGTCCCAAGGCCAAGGCCCCAGGATAGGGGGTTGAGAATAAGGCTTCCCGCATTTCAGGGGGATCCTTGTAATTTTGTTGTCCAATGCCACGCTTTCAAGACTAAGAGACTGGTGTGAAACATTTCGATGTTGGAAGCGAACCCCCAGAAGAAAGATTGTATGACAACATGAATATACTTTGTGTGTGTGTGTGTCCCATGACCTGTATTAGTCAATAAACATGTTATTTTACATGTTATTACTGTTTTTGAGAAAGGCCTTTACTAACCATCAGCATCCACTGTTACAGGGAACGGGATACACCCAAAATATACTGCACAAAAGGATGGGTTGTATGACAAGTTTTGCATTACTTGGGTCGCCGGTCAGTCTGGAATGCGAGCGCAGCAAGGCGCGAGAGCAGCAAGGCGCGCGACGGTTTCTGCGACGACGCGCCATTCAGCCTGGGTCGGTTTCTGCGACTCGATCGAGGAGTCGGAGGTCAAACAACCTGGTTGGGCAGAAGAAGGGGTGGATGTGTCATGTTTTTTTTTCCATGTTTTTCTCCGGTTTCCACTTGCCGGTGATTGAACTGGGTGAGATCAGCGAGTCAACTGGGGAGGACTCCACCGACCTCGGCCGATGAAACGGGGCTTTGGGATCCAACTTGAAGCCCTTCCTACCTAGCGCTTCCTGTCTGGGTGTCCTGTCTGGTGACCTATAAGCAGTGTGGGGTTGTCCAGCCAGGTAACCCATTGGAAGCACCGACCAGTGCGTCGTGTATATGTCAGACGAGTTTCACGCGAGATCTGGCGCGAGAGGTAGTAACCCATTGGAAGCAGCTGGTATATATACTGTGTATACATATGCCCTATAGAAGTCCAAAGACTATATGTTGACCGACTGAAGTAAAGGACTGTCCTGAACTCGGGTCACCTAAAGACCATTATTTTTATAGTCTTTAACTCTCAGGGTATTGGTATATATAGTATATATACCTGGATCTTCCAACTATGCCAAATCTCACCCCCCCCCGCCCCGTTGGGCTGGGCAGATGAGATGGACCTCCTCCGCAGCGAAGTCACCGCGCTGGTGCAGCACGAGCACGAGCTGCACGAGCAGCGTGAGCAGCGCGAGCGCATTCCGCACGCGCACAGAATCCTGGTTTTGCGCACTTGAGAGTTGTCTATGTTCCCCGAACTGGGGGTGAATCCCTTTCTGATTACTGCCTTTTTTGGGTGCCTCTCGGTTCCTAGACAGCAAATCCAAGGAATGCTGCATGATGCTGCAACGGCCAGCACAGCGCTGGCATTGCCCTGGACAGAGAGTGGGAGCTGCTCGGATGTTTGTGTTTTCGAGTTTCCACAATGGGGGTCTGGACTGGGTTGGTGAAGGGTTTTGATCCCCCCATACTGGGTTGGCCGGTAGAGGGTCACCATGGCGGAAAAGCCCGACCAAACCAGGACCAAGCAATTCGGGCCCGGGACATGTGCGCGGGTGTTCGTGGTGGTTAGTCTGGCTTCGTTTTCAAGACCCAATTTGGGGTGGTTTTGGAAGGAATATGACATACATAGTGCGTCGACGGTCTGCAGACGCTGGCGTGCTGATTTGTATTAATTTGGGTCTGTCAGAACCTACCCTTAACGGTCAGTAGACAAGTATATCCCCTAGGGCTCCAACCATATCCTCAGAAGGTGGTTAGACCCCCAAACCCACCCCAACCATCTTCTTAGGAGGTGGTTGGAGCCCTAGGGATCACTATCTTCCAACAAGGCCTTACTAATTCATCCACTGGGCCCAGGTAATAGGATAGACCCCACGTCTTGTGGTGTCCATAATCATACGATTCTTTGAACGATTCCATGCAGCTCATGACGGTCATGGCCCAGTTCTTTACAAATCATCAGCGACCACAGTCCTCAACAAAGAAAAACACCGGTCAAGTGTTCTTCGTTCAGGTCAGGCCCTTTTGATCTGCATAGAGAGGGGTGTCACACAGTGTCACAGAGAGGGCGCCTGTGAAAAAAAACGTGGTAGGGGGTGAGGTTGGACTTGCTTTTGCTTGCGGTGATTATGGGTGATGGGTATTTGTACCGAACTGGGTGCATCTCTTTCTGGGAAATGCATGTTTCTTGGCTCCTTAAGCAAACTCCAATGTTGATTTTGGAACAGGGAAGGTAGGGATCAGTATCTCGGATAGTATATGGGGTATAACTTTTCATCTACTGCACACCTATATATATATATATACTATATTAATAAATTATATAGTTCTTTTTTTTTTGTGCGAAGGGTTTGGGGTTTAGTGTGCTCGATGTTGTTCGAGAATCCATCTATCCCATACACTCCATAATATGCCTACATTGACCCCCCAAATCACCCCAATGTAAGCATATATGGCAGTCCCATGGAGTGTATGGGTATCTATCCATTGTCCCAATGTACCAGCTTCTTCAGTTTGTGACCCTTCCAAAAGGCTTCCTCGACGGGCCATACCCAGCTGGGAGGCTCGTGACCTCAAGATATCAAGTTCGATCACGAACTGAAGAACCAGGTCCGCTTTCAGTGCCCCCGAACCACGGTATGCCTCCCAGTTGAGCGTTGGAGTATGAACATGTATGCCTGCAATACAATATGTATTATATACCTGACCATCCAAGGGAAGGGGTGCCCTGTCTGGAAGCCTAGGCCGGTAGTGTGGGGTAGTCCAGCCAGGACACCCCGATGGTCGGATGGTCCTGGTATACATATACATCTACACCCTTCACACCAACCCGGTAACCTTGCCCGTTGGCCTTGTTGGCCACCAGCCTCGAGGACTCGCGAGGTGTTGGTGTTTTTCCGCCAGGTGGATCAGACCATGAGGGGGAGCCCGATGGGGGGTGGCTCAGACCCTGAGAGTCCAATCACGAACTACCAGGTGACCAGGCGGATGACCAGGTGACCAGGTGGAGCTTTACTTCTTCGTCAGACGGAAGTTCTGCGAGGAGTACCAGTGACCGTCAAGTCCGGACCTTACTGGGGTACCGAACTGGGATAGTCTATACATGTCTATACCAGGACCCTCCAAGTGGTGTCTATTCATAGCCCCTTAGCGGTTAAGGAGTGTCCATTAACCACCCCTTGAAGGCCCTGGTAGGGTTCTTCAACCTTTGTTGGTGGGTCATATAGTACTCCATCGATCCTCCCCACCGATCGCCTTCCATCCCCAGGCGAGACCGCGCGGCCGGTCGAGGCCGGCCGTGACGGGAAGGGCGAGGCGGAGACGTCACGGACGTCCTCGGCCAGCGTGCACCACTCTGGAGTCAAGTTTGTATGGTTTCTCGCATGTGTCCCTGAGATGTTTCCTGCTGTCAAGCCTGCAATGTGTTCCTGACACATCTCGGAAGGTGGGGAGGAATGCGGTGGGGTGTCGGCTGTGGTGGGCGGGCGGGTGGCAGGCGAAGCACTGACATCAAATCTAGAATCTAGAGACCCTCACCTGACAGGTGGGGAAAGACACCTGTTGGGGCCAACCGGACCATCGTATGAGCCCCAATGAGCCAAGACCATCGTATGGGCCTTATTCAATGAGCCCCAGCAAGACCACGGCCAAACGGATGTTTGCAATGTGTGTGTGTGTGTTATCATGTGGTATTTTTCTTTTTGTTCGTCTTTCTTTCTTTCTACCTTTCTGGCCGGGCGCAACAAGAGAGGAGCAAAAGAGGATCTTCTGGCCTTTAAAGAACTTTGAGTATGATTTGGTGACCCATATATATAGATGTAGTTTAATTGCCAGCTGAAGACTTTGTAGAATGCAGGTCATGCCGTTCAGGTTTTTGTTTAGCCAAATGTTCTTAGGCGCTGTGGGATCAAGAAAGACCGCCAGCATCAGAGGTCACTTAGTCTCACTTGATGGTAACTAGTCCAGAAAACAAGTCAGCCCTTCAGTTTTTTGTCCACCCATGAACACTTACCTGACCAAACATTGTGATTCGAAGGTGTCCAATGGAGATCCAGCAGGCGTGCAAGATACACTCCAAGAAACACATGTAAATTCGCTGTTTGTAGACAACTGTACTCTTCCAACGATTCATGTTCCACTTGCACGTTCCTGTACATGTTGTTTCTGTTGAAGGGAAACATCTTATGACTTCGTCTATAGTATTCCTATACCAGCACCTCCAACAGGTCACCAATTGAAACCTGTTAGGGCCCTTCCCAACCCTCCATTTCGGAGACCTGTTGGGTTCGGTGCTGCTAGTCTATAGCCCAGTGGACCCGCCCAAAAGATGTAAACTTGAGGAACGCTCTTGAACAACTGAACAACATGTTGGTCCCGCTGGTCGAGCCAACCTCTTCCCCCTTCAGATGCCGATTGTTCGGATTCCTCGGTGGCCTCGGTGGCGGCCCAGTCCCGCTCGCGGCGCTGGAACCGCTCGAGCCGCTCATCCGGCAGCAGCGAGATGGACGAGCGACGGATGGAGAAGGTGCTGAGTGAGAAGAAGGGAAGCTGTGGACGTGACAGGGAATCAACAGAGGTTAAGTGACCTTATACAGAGGTGGACGTGTCGGACAGTTACTGGGGTACCTATGGGAGAGTCGAACTAGGGTTCAGAGGGGTTTGGTGGCGAGATCTTGCAGTGTCCCGCAGCAATCTCCCCACTTGCGCCGAAAATGGAGTTACTGTAGAAAATAAACGGACAGGTGATTCACACACATGAGAAGCCAAGTTGCAAGAAGCGCCGCAAAGATGCTGCCTTCACTATAGGGGCAGCTCAAAAACAAATATACGCGACACGTCTTGAGTCACCTGACGTCATTGCACATACTTGAGGATCAAACGGTTCACACCACGCATGTTGAGCATGTTCAAGATGCCAAATAGGTCCCATCACTGGGCAGCCAATGGTGAGTGTGATCGACAGTCCGTCCCCAAATACGTCCCTGCAGTGGCTGCAGGATGCTGTAGGGCTGCAGAACAGGATCATCTGGTGATGTTCCCTTGATATGGCTTTGAGTGTCTATAGGGTTTTGAAGCATACTGCGGTGGGATGAAAATAGCCAAGTGATCAGGTACCGGTTTGTCTATTTGGTTTGTCCCCTGAGAGGATAAACGTAGTGTTCGGCTGCATCCACACTAACCCGATCCAACACTTTTAGAGCTTTTGGTGCTATGAAAGCAATGAGGAACTAGCGGGAGAAGATGGGAGAAGGCTGCTTCAACTATATTGAAAATGATTGACCCTTAGAGGTGATTCGGGATGTCCCTGAACCACTTCTCTCGGGGCCGAATCGCTTGGTCCATCCTTGGTCGAAGGAGCACCAACCCTCGTGGAAGGGCTCGTCTTCCGGCTGGGAGGAAGCGTCGCCTGGCTGGGGAGGAGTCGACACGACCTGTTTGGGACTGCCATAGGACTGCCGATCAGGCCAGGGGATCATTGGGGGTGGTGCCAGGGGGGTCCGTGGGGCGGCATATATGGCAGTCCCATGGGTCGTGTCTGGAAAATGGATATATGGTGGCGCGGCTTCTAATACGTTTTTTGTCGTTTTCAACGTGGGGATCTACCTTTTCTATCTATCTTTGATAGGGGACCACTTGAAGCGCGCCACCTGGGCCATCGACACCAGTGTGTGGTCTGCTTACAAGAAACAGTCATAAGCTTCATGTACGGGCTCATAGAGTGATAGAGAGGCTTTCCTGCACCGCCATCAACAGAGTTGGATAGTCAACACTACTCTCGGTGTGTCCCAGACGTGTTCTCCGAACAGAGTGACCCACCAGCAGCACGCACACTCTAAGGCCTTCGAGCTCACACAATGATCCGTGGAATGGCTCCAAGAGCTGGGATGGCTCCAAGAGGTGGGATGAACAGTCACCTGGCGTCTAAGCACTGTAGCCACATGAGCAGCGGTCAACCCACCAAGCATTGGGCGGTTTGGGCGGACGTGCCCTGGGTGCCCAGAAGGCATCCCCGTCGTGTGGTCCCCGTGCTTACAACAAGGACAAAAAGGGTTTGCACTGCACCATCGATAGCTCCGATAGCTTTATTTTTTGGGAAAATTGGGAAAAGAGATTTGCAACTGCCCTCTAGCGATGTAGTTTTGATCTCGAACGTCAACTGTATGACCAAGAAAGACTCTCCAAATCCCGCATAGTTTGAGACTGACGTGCAGTTCAAGGCCCTGGAGCTCGCAGAAAGATCAGTGGGAGAGCTCGAAGACTG